ATGGATTGAAATAACTGACGAATGCTGTGATAAGTGTCACAACAAGAACCTCTTTTACCGGATTACTACCCAAAGTCTTATTCGCTTTTCGAAACCGACACCATTTTATGTTTGCCCTTTAAACACTTTAAATTGTTACTTCTACTAAACGTTCACCATAAATTTTAGAAGGATGCCTTGCATAATAAACCGCAGCTTATCATCAGCAAAATCTAAAAAATTGCTATAAAATTTCATTTTAAAAAAGACTCACCATATAAATAAACTTCCAATAGTACCTCCAAATAACCCAAGACCGGCAAATGGAATAAGTTCGACAAATGTCCATTTCATGCTGTAATCAACGTGGAACAAAGAAGTCTGAAAATCCGAATTTTGTTGCATCTAAATACATCTAAAACATAATCAAATAAACATATATAACATCCAAAAAGCATGATACCTATTTAAATAAAATATGAATAAAATTCTTACAGTAAATAGAAAAAAAAAGAATACTGAATGAAGTTGAATAAATGCATCTAAATCTTATCATACAAAATGATAACCTATTGCAAAAATTATTAAAAACTTTTCTACAAAAGGAGGGGATACTTGCAGACTGAACGAAGCTTCTGCCCATGCATTATTTAATCTTGAATCATAACAGTAGTTATTCACAAATAATTTGCGTGTACCTGGTCACTTCCAAATGGATTCATTATTCGTAAGATGATTCCAGCAATAAGTGCACAAAAGAACGAACGCCACATAGTTTTCAAAGGAAAATAATAACTTGCCTCTTCCAAACTGCAATCTTTCTAAACTTAACTGATCAGACAAGAACAATTACGGTCGATAGTTCCTGTTTAAAGTTTATAGATTAACGGAAGGAGATCACTCCTTCTATTAATTTACGAAGAAAATATAAAAGTATTTGACAATTTTTTAGTATTTGTAAATAGAAATACATCTTAATTGATTTTTGCAAGTTTATTAGAAACAACTGAAACGCAACGCAGACGCAGTGTTTGTTCCACGTATTATGATCCGCTTTCGGAAAAGTTCTAAAAACCTCAAAATTACCTGAACAAAACCCCTCCTATAGGAGCACCGAATGCAACTGAAACACCGGCTGCAGCAGAAGCACTTAGTATTTCGCGTTTTTTGGCTTCATTTGAACCATATTTTGGAAAGAGGTAACAGAAAATATTTCCTATACAACACGCTAAATGCACCATTGGACCTTCTTTTCCCAAATTCAGACCTGAAATGTCGCAGAATCTATTACTTATCAAAAAACTGAACTCCGAATATTATCAGAGTTCTTTCTTTCCCCCCTAATATGAATAACTGGAAAAAGATTAGAAAGCATTACTAACCAGATGCAGATGCCAAGATCAAGCCAACAGATTTAATAATGAAAGTCCATTTACCCAAGTAACCTCTAATAATAAAACCTGATAGAATGCATTTGATTTCAGGTATACCTGAACCGCAAGCGTACGGAGCGAATACCTAAAAGCAAAATTTTTATACAGAGGGATTTTAAGATGTATGATTAGTTTTCGAGAAAGGTAGCATGTCTCTGTTCATATATTTCATTTTCTCTTCCGTTTCTTTTTTGGGTAGAATGGATAAAAATCAAACTCGCTCAATATAAAAATGAAAACTGCGGAAATCCACACACACATACAAAAAAAAGACTGTTAAACTGAATTATAAGTGTGATACAAAAACGTGCCTTAACCAAAGCTACAGTTACTCCTGTCATAAGCACGCTCCAACCACAATAAAAAAATAATTCCATCACATAATAAAAGAAATTTCGCTCATAAAACTGCATCATTTCAGGCCAGGATGTCCATGCCGAACAATCAGCATCTTTATAAACACTATCATTTGCTGACCAACAACAATGCTCACGATCAAGCCAAAATCGATCCGCACATACACCATCCTAAAAGAATCACAGTATTACAAGGAAAAAAAAACTTGAAAATAATCTCAAGGTATTGAACGTTTTATTTTAATTTTTTACCGAAGTCCTCGAAGCTAATGCTTCATCTCCTTTACTTATGTTGTTCGAATTCAGACTGCTTTTCGGAAAAAAAGTATATTTCGGAGAGATTTTACCTTCAAATCACTCATCCAACGCGCTCCAATATCAATAATACCGGCAATAGTACCAGCAGCAAGACCAATCATCAACACACATGCCCAACCACTTCCCGCATCCCATAGACTACATAGTTTACCAAAAGTAGTTTTTGACCGTTTTACGATAAATTTATGGCGCAATCTGTCTCGTGCCAAATCTCGTTGCCAATCTATTGTATGAAAGTCGCCATACCGACTATAAAAAGTATTATGACAATTAATAACGAAATATAGCTATATAGTTGTGTCGGCACCAATTCTCTGGATAGAGTAAAATGAATGAACAAATAACATCGCGGCCTCCTCCAAGTTATACTGCTCAACAAAACATGTCACTCTGAGTTCCCAAGCAACATGGTGTATATGTAGAAATAAATTCAAATCAATTATTTCCACTCTCCAAGATTTCTACCAAAAGGCATTAGTTGTAAGAATCAAAGTGAGAACCTCTCCATTGGTGGTGAAGCTTCATCGATAGTTATTTCTTCACTGTCAGTCAATGAAATAAAACTATTTCCACTTGCGCCTACAATATACGATAAATGATTAATTTTTACTTAAAATAAATAGATAATTCATACCGAATATAGACAATCTATTTTCGGCATGAATTATCTGTTTATTTTAAGTAAAGATTTTATTTTATTTTTTTCTATTTTAACAATTTTTTTACTTTACTGCATGACTCGATAACAGCATATCTTCCAAATTAACAGAGGAAAACGTTAAAATTTTACGAAATGAAATTCACAAATAAACAAGTAAATATACCGCGATATTTCAATGCTCCGCGAATGCTTTGTTCTGCATGTACCATTGCTGGTGCAGTATTAGAAGCGGAAATATTGGAAGTAGAAACGATTTTATCGTCATCACACATCATTATACTCTTTTCTAGTTCGATTTCAGTGCTTTTTACTGTTTGACACCGATTAAATGCTGACAGGAGCGTTCTGGATTGATTCGGTGATATTAAGCTAGTTGTTTCACTTTGCTATAAAAAATAGTAAGCTTTTCCTAAAACTATACTAACTCAAGCAGAATTCTGCGTCCACTGAGAAGATGCAAATAAATCCTAAGCAATTTTCCCATCAATACTTATGAAAATCTTCCAGAGAATATAACTTTCTAATCCACGGAATATATGTACTGATAAGTGCGTGAAGACACTTATTAGTGTATATATTTTATGCACCGCAAAGTCATATCAGTTTTTATCTTTCTTTCTATCCTGAAGAATGTTAACAAGCAGACCGAAGAAAAGGCGTACCTCGTCACTAATCCAGAAACTGCTCATAGAAAGTGAAACCAGTCAACTCTCACAAGCATTTTTTGTGCCTAGTAAGCCTGCTTTTCTAAAATTCAGTGTTTTAGCTTAACAACAGTAGACATTGCTATTGAAAACGGATGATACGATCAAAGGATAAGGGTAAAAAAGGCGTACTTCCGTTCTATTTGGCCCAAATTCAAAATTTAAATTATGAAGCTTTATAAAAGAAAAAAAAGTGGATTCCCGGAAAGTCAGACTACTGTTGCTGCAACTGATTGTTCAGCAAAATAATTATTAAATAACAGGGTAACAATTTAATTAATTGAACCTTTGAAAGGTTAATAAATTAGCTTCATTAAACCAAATCTAGGAAAAATTGATGAATCAGTCAACCAGGTAAGTAGCGACAGTTGCTACTTAAACAATAATAACTTAAACAAAATTACTGAGTTAGTAGCAGCGTTCAAATCTGTGTGATTTATAACATTCAACAAAAGATGAGGGAGCCAATAACGAAATACATAAAAACAGTAAAAAATAAAATCGAAATAACTTAGTAGTAGCAACCATATGAAAACATAAGGTTAAACCAAATAAGTAACACTGACAGTGTTCTTTGACCCGACTACTAAGGAAAAACAAATCCCCAATAAAGAAGTGAAAAACCACCAACTCTACCCATTGCCTTTACACAGAACCTGCTGTCACAAAGAAGCAAGATATAACACGGTCCTAGCGAGCCAAAGAAGAAATCTCCACACACTATACGTCTAATTTTGTACGGGTGGTTTGATTTCAGTTATTTTGAAGTCCAAGTTTAATTAAGTCTTTTCTTATTACGATATGAGAATCGGTCATTGTTAGAGTTCCAAAGCATGAAATCGAGAGGATGCAGAGAATGTCTTCTTGATCGGTCCAAGTAAGTTTTTTTTCTCTACTTTTTCTCTGCTCTACTATTTTTTTTTCCCTGCTATTAATAAATTTTTCTCTACCAACTTATAGAGTTATAGAGACAACTCATAGAGTGACAAATCAGATAACTAGATCAAATTGGCATATTATTTGTTAATTTATTTAAATGTGAAAAAAATTTATATTATATTGCTTTTCCGTATCTTTAATATGCCAGTTTCTTTTCATTTGTATGCGACAAATGATATATAAAATGTTTTATATATTTATGCGTTACGTATATCTCACTATCCATGCAATTTTTTCTGCTTTTAGTTTTTTATGCTAATTTTTATAAATATGTGGATGAAAGTTGATGTGTTATGTGTTATTTTGTTATATGTGTTAATCGTTATTCGTCAACTTATTTTTGTTCATATTTTGTGTATTATTGTTTTTTTATCTGCAGTTTACATTCTTTACAATTTTTTTATAATTTACATATAAATATTGGTATAAAGGAATCAGTAGAGACTGATACGAGAATGCGCGGTTAGATATAGATAGATGATAAGTTAACAGATCAGATGTATAGGATTGGTTCATTGAAGTACTGATCAGCGCCAGCACCGTATCACTGAAAGTTTATCTGGAAGAAAAGGAAGATTACAGTACGTAATCAAAGGTATCTGTTGGATCGATGAATACACAAAGTTTGTCTGGTATGTTTCTCTTCACTCCTGGTTTAACTTCCTTTTTTTCGCATTTTCTTCGATGTTATTTTAAAGTACTGAAGTTTTTTATATTTGAATTGTATGGATTTTAAAATCCTCTCTTCTATAGCGAAAATGATAGATAGACTGCATTTGTTAAAGGCAAATGAAGAAGAATAATTGCACGAAAATTTAGATAAATTATAACTTAAATGATGGGCATTGTATAATAAGCATTTAGCGTCAATTAAGAGTAAGCTAAAGTAAAAGCAAATATCATTTAAGGACTACGATGAATCATTTCATTATTTGTAACAGTTTGATGAAGCAGAAACATTAATATATGTGTTACAAAAACGTTAGTGATTATTTGTTTTCAATTGGATTTGGTATTATACCTAATCAAATCTAAATATTGTATGCTTTATTTCAGGATCGGGAAAGCCGGAATTATTGCGACGAGTGCGGCCAAATTTTGCTGATGATGGTTAGTACAATGCTGATTATTAAGCTACAAGATGCGCCGTTAAGTGTGAAAAAAAAAACTGATTTCAGTGTATAAATCATGAATGATGACAACTTAGAGAAAACTGTAGCTTACTGCAAATAATGCAGGTTGAAATGATATATAAAGTAATCAAGTAGTTCTGCAAACAATGAATAATAAAATGATAATGTTATGGGTGCTGCATTCCTATCTTAATAATTTATAGTATACGGCTCAAATGTCTTGAAACTTAATAGCGAACAGGTGGAGCACGATATTATAGAAAATCGAACGGATATTTGCGAATCGGCGCTTGCACAGAGACGTTCGGCACAACTGCCGAAACTCAAAAAAATATCAAGCAAGCCGAGGCCATTAAGCAATGATTTCTCGGTATTCTTCTTTCTCTGCTTTTCTTTTTAAAGAGGTATTTGATATTAGAGATTTTATTTTTGCTCGAAACTCGAAATCTGAAAATTTCGACTGATTTATGCTGCTTTAGTGCTGTATTTATTGTTACGGAAACAGTACATTTTATGCTACATCCTCCATTACTAAGCTAGCATTCAGATGTTGAAGCACTTACTCAAGTACTCATATGTTAATATATGGATTTGTTTTGCTTACTTTATTGTTTCTTGTTTTAAATAATTCAGCAAGTGCTTCATCTTCTGCTTTCTCGTCCTTCTGATTTTGAATAATGCATTTAGACGCGGAGTGAAATGAATGATTTTGAATTTGTTTACTCTGATTGTGATACACATGCAGCAGAACTGGCTGAACTGTACACCTACAGCGAGTTAGAAGACTGGGCACTGAATATGCATGCTTACCAAGATTTCGTAGAATCTAAAGAGGTAATTTGTTATGCTCTTTAATTTTAACTTGCGATTTAACTCGGTATCTTACATAAGTAACACGAGTTTAATTGTTTTTGCCGATGCCATATTAGTATTGTCATTTCAAATATAAAAATTTTGTGTTTGTGAGATAATTTACTTCATTCTTTTTAATCCACTAAAAGCTGTGAATCATTCTTAGCTCGATCGTAAATGGTCAAAACTTACGGAAAGTCAGCAGAAGAATGTTTTGTTGAGTTTGCTGGAAGAGTTGGAACGAGTCGAACCAAATATACGATTAAGTGCTGCACGATCTATACTTTATATATTGCAGGTTTATAGTTAAGAAGCCAACTGCCAGTGAGGCATTTTTCAATTGTAGGCGGTGTTTGCATGCGATGTATCTTCATGATATACTTCGGGTTCATCTGAGATTGTAGTATCTCTCATATTATTATTCTTAAGTAAAGAAATTAATGCTTTAGCATATTCCTTTAAAAATTTAATGAATGTGTTGGTTATTTAGTAATAATAATTCATTAAATATTTTTACTTTTAGTTAGCACTAAAGGATGTAAGAATAACTTCAGACGCTTAAATGTAGCATCATATGTTTATTATTTTTAATTTTATAGGGTGCTTATATGGATTTTATCGATGACAGGGATATCACTATTGATGGCACCTTCGAAGATAATAATGAAAGAGAAGATGGTAACGATTTAGGAATAGGACATTGCGAAGAAAAGTGTTTAACAGAGGGAGTTTTCAATGCCTATAAGGCATATGAAGCTGGAGCTTATCAGGTAGAAAATATTTTAACTTTTCATGCATTTGTTAAATTTCTACAACATGGGATTTCCGAAAATTTTTACGCAGATGGGGACTAATTCTTCAAATCGTAATTTTTCTTGTTTTCAGGCATTATGCAAGCTGCTTTTGATTGAAATCCATGATATTTGGGATGGAGGACCAGTAGGAGCAGGTCAGTATAGCCACTCGTCTTCAGTATCAAACAGCCGTTCAGCATCCAATGCTGATCTTTCAGAGAGTGTTGGTTCGGTTTTCCTTCATTATGGATGTTTTTCATCGCAATTTTTGGAAATAGATTGATTATCAATTTACACTAGCCAATAATTGTTTCAGCTGTGTTCAACTTTAAACATTAAGAATCTTCAGAAAATTGTAACGAAAAAAATATCAGCAATTCTTTAATGTTGATTATTTTATGTAAAGAATGATATAATTTAAAGTACTATTCTTTGTTATTTTTATAATTTTTGAATTTTGAACACACTTTCTTCTATTCACAAAATTATCGCAATGATGGTGTATATTAATTAATTTAAATCTTTCTAATAAGTAAAACTATTTGTAGTGGAAAGAAAGAATAATCGGCGAAGTGCTACAATGGCTGATAACGAAGCCCTGCGTATAACATTAAGTGCCTTGTATCATATGGTTGAGTCGATAAGACGATTAGATTTGTTTGAACTCGTTGTTCCCGCAGATAAGAAATCTCGGTATACTGCACTAAGGAAAGAATTTATTGTAGAAATTGGTTAGTTTGACATCTTTTTTTGTTACTTTTAGCGGTCTTTTATTAAATTTTGAATAAAAGTGATATAATTCCTAGCTGTGATCATATCAAACACTTCTAGAAGAAGTGATCGAGGGCGCTGATATGTCACTGATTGTGGTTTTACTCGAAATGATGCCCGCTTTCTGCCACGGAAGTAGTCCTCACTTTCCGATGAAAAAAGTAATGTTTTCAATTTAGTGTAATTAATCCACTAGTAACGTTAGAAGTATTCGCATCGAAATATGTTAGCATCCAAATCGTTAGCTTAATCTACTCAGTGACTAGAGTAGGTATGAATGTTAATATGACTGCTATTAAATTTTGGATACTATTTATTACAACTATTTTGACATATATATACAAATATATAATATCTATTTATTTATATTAACGATTTAGGTTTAAGAGGGTTGAGAGAAATTCTCATTAAATTTCGTCAACTAGTAGAAATTTATTTTCAGGTCCTTTTACTACTTTGGAAAACACTTTTGGCAATATTAGGTGGTTGGAGAGAGTTGCGTGAAGGGAAAGCTGCCAAACGAGCAGCAGCAAATTTGAGTTCAATTGAAGATACACTTCTTGTTGCAAGTGCAATGAAATCGTCTTTTATAAATGGCAATGATTCGGAGCAAAGTCAAGGTTTAGATGTTCGAGAATTCTTGAATCCCCGATTTTTTTTTAAATTAGTAAGTCCTTTGAACTCAGAAATTCTGATTTGGACTCCTCTATCAATAGTTGTGATTTGTCTCAGGTTTTGTTCGCCCGAAACGAGCTCTTCATCCTTCAGCTCGATTAATTTGTCGTCAGTTTGCTTGCACTACCTCTGGTTCGCTTGAAGGTCGGTTACTACTCAACTTTTTATGAGATTTTTCTATTTTATTGGTGCAATGATGGTAGGAAATGAATTGCGATACAAAATCATATTAATTTGCAGACAAAGGAAATGGAGAACTGGATAGAATGGAATCTGAATGTTCAGAAATTGACCGAGCGCCAACAGATCCGGGTCTGACTGATGACAGTGCTACTGTAGACGGGAATGATCTAAGAGACTTGGCAGCTGAAGAATTATCTCGAACCTCAGGTATCGTTGACTTCGAGAGTGTTTGATTTTTCGAAATTTTGATTAAAGTAGAGAGTTTAAAAGAATGCAAGCGAGTAGACTATCTATAATAAAGCTTTTAGTGACAGATAATTATTGCCATGAATAAAAAATTTGAGATTATTATAGTAATTTGTGTGGTAAACTTAGTGTTTTAGCTCTTGTCTTGGCAAGGGAAGAAACGCAACACATGAAGAGCAAATTGAGTCGCCCAAATCCGTTAATGCAGTATGTTTTTGATAGCTAAAATTTTCATAATGTTTGTTTTGTTCGATGCAACCTTCGATGATAGTTCGGACTTAACGATTAAAGAAGAATTTGCCAAAAAAATCTAGACTTTCCACGGAAATTTCGGGAAACACAACATTAATTTTGCATACGACTTTTATCATGAAGATATATTTAATTTCAAATGTTTCAGAACTTCATACGCAGGTGATCACACACCGGTCGCAAGCACACCACCACCCATGGATATACTTTTTCGAACATCACTGCCGTGGAATTCAAAAGTTCGTGAAGAAGATATTGAAACGTTTTTGCAGTGTGAAAGGTTGCTATTGTTTCTATTATTTTGTTCTTGATATATTTACAACTGCTTGTCAAATTTTATAGTACTAAAACTGCATTATATAAAAGATGTTATGATGTGATGATGATGATAGATCATTGGATCGAATCAAATTAAATTGCCTGTTAGTTTTCAGAATGAAATTTTTTAATTACCGTTTGCCGAATGATTCAACAACAGTATTTGGTTTACCGTTACCAATCCAAAAAAGTATCGAAGCATTACGCCGTCACGTTTATATTTCATTGGGTGAATTACAAGTATGGTATTTATCGATATTTTATTATACGTGATGTTGTTGCAGACTTTTGGGATTTCACAGTTTCTATTTCCTTTCAGTTTCTTTGATTGTGGGTATAAGTGATGCAAACTAATTACTTTCAGGCAAATAGGGAAAAAGAATTAAATCGATATATGTTTTCGCAACAAGATAATATTCCAATAACGAGTGCAGAAAAATTGTATCGAATGATGCTGCCTAATTTGAGTCAATACATTATTGCTTTATTAAAAGTACTACTGGCTGCTGCACCTTCTTCAAAGGTTAAGTTCCAGTTGTGATGTCATGGAACTTTGATATCGATTGTTTTGCAAAATTGTTGAAATTTTGTGCTTTTTTATTCAAAATTTAATTGCATGCAGTCATGCTATCACATGGAGATCTGTTGTACTTTGTCACAAGATAATCATGACCTCGATAAGTAGAATAAGTGGAACTATAACAGGACATGGTGAGGCGTCATCAACATCTCTGTTGGTAGTGGGCTCAGAGGAGTTGTTATAATCTTTCGTGATTGTAGGCAAAAAGTGAAGCAATTAATATATTATCGGATGTGCTTACACCTGAAACGGATAGCAATGAGATATTGTCGAATTCGGTTAATTTTGATAGTTCACTCTCTAATATCCTTGAGCAAAGCGTTCGTATTGCAATCGATGTTAATCGACACAAAGAGGTGCTTTTTATTTTTATGTTTATTCATTAAAACAGCAAAATAGAGGAAGTTCGCCTAAGGAATAAATACACTGTTTTTCACGATTTCAAAAGAAAATTTTCGTGAAATTCAGGAATTTTTATTGAAATACCTCTTTCATTTCTAGATTTTTAGATAATGGTTAAAGCTGCTTCTGCAATTCTAATATTACTGATGAAGCATTTTCGATTAAATCACGTATATCAGTTTGAATATATCGGGCAACATCTTGTTTTTGCTAATTGCATCCCGTTAATTCTGAAATTTATGGATCAAAATATGGTTCGATATATACAATCGAAACATGAACTGCGACCGTACAATTATCCACATGCCCCACTTTATTACGTACGAAATCATGGTGAGTTTTTACTCGTTAATGTTTATCGAAATTGATTTTGCTGAAGACATTCATGATATTCAAAATCAGTTCAGTGCAGAAATAATTCTGTTAATTGTTTCGAATCTTTTATCTTTGGTTGAAGTTTCTTGACTGCTGCTAATATTTTTTTCTAGTATTCAATTCATTGCTTAAAATCTTTATCATGCACTGTGGATTCTACGCTATAGTTATTATAGGCAGATGAATTTCGGATGATTTTTGATATATCTTCACTTCTGAAAAGCATCAGGAGAATTGTATTTATCATTTTTAGTGATAAATTCGGAATCTCATAGGTTTTAATTTTTGATTTATGAATATTGTAGAAGAATGGCCGGTGCTGGATATTAATAACGTCGAAGACAGTGATTCGCAATCACCATCATATTATCTATGGCGTAATGTTTTCTCAGCCATCAATCTCCTGCGCGTTTTGAATAAATTAACGAAGTGGAAACATGCACGTACGATGATGCTCGTAGTGTTCAAATCTGCGCCAATTTTAAAACGCTCGTTAAGGGTTAAATTGGTATGTTACTATATAATTTGTATTTTATAAATCACTCAAACAATTATTATATTGTTTCATTCTTATTTTTTATAGGCAGTGTTCCAGTTGTATGTATTGAAATTGCTCAAAATGCAAGCTCGATACCTTGGACGACAATGGAGGCGAACAAATATGGAAATTATGTCGGCAATTTATGCAAAAGTACGACACAGGTGAATTTTTATTATTTTATAGATGCAAAGATGAAATCAAAAAAGGATCGAAATGCAAATAAAGGACTAGAGAGGACAAGCGCGCTATATTCGTAATTATACAGGTATCGCGAATTCTTATTTGACTATGCTGTTAACGAATATGTTTTTCGTGAGCGTAATTGTTGCTTTTTTCTCAATTTTATAATTGAAGTTATGATTACTGTCAAATTTTTCGATTGCAGTAAATGTGCTACGATTAATTCACAAGTATTTTTCTTGTTGTGCAAACGTTGCACTTATTATACAAATAAACTATAAGTTCGTTTATGTAGTGACTATAGATATGACTGATTATTTAAGTTATGCTAAAAGATTTATAGCTCTACTCTGCTTTTAGATTGAATGATGATTGGGCTTATGCAAATGAAACTCGCTCGAAATCTTGGGATTTCCAGAATGAGGAAGCGGCACTGAAAACTGCGGTAGAAAGGTTCAACTCGAGGCGTTACGCTCGTTTATATCCCGCGTTTGCATTAGGTGAGCCATATTAAAAATTTTCCATTGTCATAAGGATCGAAGTTCGCTTTTCTTTCCAATATATCAGAAGATCGCTATACCAGAAGTAATAACGGAAGATCGCTTAGTGTCAGTGTGACATTTTGTTTGCATTAACGTAGTGTTTCTTTCTGATCTTTTGAAATTTAAATTGTATTTTAATCCTGCATAACCGCAAACTGCCAAATACAGAAGTAGAGTCAGTAGCGATTGAAAACTACATGGCCGAAATCTGAATTAAACTGCATGGCAGGAATCCTAAATTGTCAAGTACTCTGAAATATATATAAGATGGATTTTTTTAGCTACCATTGATAAAAGTCTTGTGTTATTTATAGAAATTGGAGAAGCTTCATCTCCAGGGGATAGCTATTTGGATAATGTTGATATAAATGAGTTTGGACCGATGGACAACAGTTTCCAATCACTATTGGGTACAAAAGTGGAACTAAGTGATCGATTTAAGCGTAACTATGCCAAATGGGTTGATAATGAAGTGATTAAAAATCATACAAATTGGGATCTACTTATGACACTTACACGTGGCATCATTGATTTTGTCTGATATTTTGTAATAATTTGTCTTTCTTTTCATCCGTGTTAAAATTATTTGTTTCGAATATTTATCTCTCTTTTATATTTCAACTAAATTTTTATCAAGCTATTCTTTACAAAAAATATTTTTTTATACATTGCACTAAGAAAAGTACCCGCGTGTGCAGTATGTACTGAATGCAATGAAATTTGAAGTGACTTTCTCTTTAGTTTATATAATGGCATTTTGAGTTTGGTATAAAAGCTAATTCTAATTGTATTATATTTTCTGAGACGTGATCGGTAATTCTTAATTTTCGTTCGTTTTTGTTTGCAATTCAAACCAAAAAGTTATTGATGGTTATCTTTATAATATTACAAAGGGAAACTCTCTTCTGTAAATACGTAATTCAATAGAAGATGTAGCATACTATGTTTCTTTGTGCGTCATTTGCATATTTAGATATCGATTGTACGTTTTCATGCTTAAATCATTTGTGATAAATTATTACCGTGGACAGTGCTTTTTTTTAACTAGTAAAAGGAATAAAATTTATTGATGGAAATTGTGGTGAAATTTTTTCTATTTCAGTTACCGGTGTTGAAAGAAGACCGATTAAGATAACAATAAATGCTGCAGCAATAAAAATGAATTACTGAAAACATAATAGTTTTCTGAATTAATGTTTTTAAGGGGATTGATTCTGAAAGGGAATATTAAGTCATCCCTAAAACTTGTGAAACGGAATGTTGCATATGACCTCTGGAACAGTAATATTTAATGTCTTGTGGAGGCAATTTAATTTTATTTTAGCGTTTAATTTGCTGAACTTTTCTGAAACACCGTATTCGGCACTTAACATTTGGTTCTCACTATTCGAAATTCTTTAAACTCGTTATTAATAATATTATCAATAGACCTTAACGAATTTGGTTTCTTAATCTTCCGTGATGGTAACTGAAATTTCAAGGTTAAAAATGGTCAGAATTTTATTTTAAAAAGTGGTCGAGATTAGGCATAAACATAAAGGAGCAATTAGTTCATGTGATTAGCAACGGATTGGGAAGAGCATTGATAGTAATATGTCAATTGTCTGCTTTATAAAAGCTTGAATAAATTTGTTTTGGACGAATTTTGTGTAAAAACGACGACTAATACGTGTAATTACCAATAATTATAATTAACTGGAAGATTCTAAATTATCAACCATAACAAATATAATACATAATAAATTATCAACCATAACAAATATAATACATAATTTTATAGTAATAATGTAACTGTTGTAACTCCATGGTTGCTTCCTCGATTTTATGAATAGTAAATAGAAATCATTAATATGCAAATATAATGGTAAATTAAATAGACAAATGCAAAAAATTATAAGTTTTGGAAGTATTTAAATTATAATCTAATAGCTTTTATTAAATTATTCGGTAATTGTTTACCTGATTTGCGGTCGGGACAATAATATGCTTTTTCGGGAACTGTCACCGAACCAATTAATAAGGTATGTTGTAATTGATAAATGCTAGAATTTAAATATGGATGTTTTTAAATAAAAAATCCCAGTAAAATAGACATTTGTTGAGAATGTAAAAAAGGTACATTACCAAATGTAGTGATCGATACTTTGAAAAATCTACTTGAATGTGCTTTTCTTGTCTCATTTCTATTTTGACTGCTCGGTTTTTATAAATATAATGGATATTTTAGTTTCTTATTAGTACTTTATAAAATATTTTGAAGCTATTTGCACCATTTAGAAATGGCAGAAGTGCAACGTCCAAATGTTGTTGTTTTTTGTCACCATCTGGTCGTTATGGAGTATATATTAGCCGTACTGAAGTATTCGAATCCCAACCTATTGAAACTCACTTTTATAATTACATTTTTATTATTTCTGATTTCATACTTGATACTACGACCGAATATGTCTCTACATGCGGTCCCTTTAAGGTATTATTTTTTTATTTCATATTTCAAGATGATCTGCGAGTCGATATTATGGTTCTTAAATTTAATATAAATCGCAAATTATACTGTCTGTAATATTCTTCATCCTGCACCGATTTCCACATCAGCATACAAGCCTAAAGTTGAAGGAAGAAAATTTTTATGGTAGATATCTTGACAGCATATAATATATCTATAACCTTGACTCTCCTACTTCCCATTAACAAAGATTTCACTTCATCTAAAGACGAATAATAGAAATTGTAAAGAAAAGACGGGTAAACATACACCGAACGTACGCGTACACGTTCGCTCAAACAAAGTTGCACATAAATGATATGAACTGAAAGAAAACTTAATTGCAGAGATTTCACCGTTTTTACTATTTAAATGACACCGTTGGAGTACTTGTTGACTTTTCACGTAATAATGGTAATATAACGCAAAATGTCATCCAATTTTCACACGTAAACCATACAGTAACATGTGAATATGCCCGTATTTGGAATTTCCACGTTGATGATATGCTGTATGAAACGGACAATAATCGCATGATTTGTACAACAGCATTAATGAAAAATAAAGATATCAGTAAGTATTGACAATCATCATAAAAAATAAATTAATTATGAAGAGCTAAGAATAAATGTAGACATATATAAAATTAATTTAATATAATATTTTAGGTTATTTACCATTACTTGGTGAAAAAGATAATATATCGATGATATTTGTTCGTCTGGTACCAGCTAACCCATTTTATTCATGTGATTTTGTAATACCAATGTTGGAAATCAGTGAACAGGATGCGTATCAGCGTGGAATACAAACGGACGACGGGGGATTGTTACAAGAATTAAATTTATGCACCGATACCAGATGCTATCCTTTAATTAATGAGACATCACTTTATTTCATCGTACAACTTCGAACGGTTTGTTATTCATTTCGTTCTAACTTTTTTCCTTTTCTTTTTATATCTTTTCTTAATCATACTAGCTTTCTCTCTCGAATCTTCTCATCCTTCAGAATCTTTTTTAACATCTACAAGACAAAATTCTTTGAAAAGATCAAAAGCGTTACTTCGATCATTACTAATTCATTCTTATCATTATACTATCAATATTGTTAATCGTTTTCTCTCATGTGATAAATTTATATCACTTCATTGAGAATATACTACCAATTTATCTCACTTCATTCAGATTATATTACCAAATTATGCAAAAAATGCTGAAAGTCAAAAGATCAAGCATTATTCACTTTTTTATTTACTTATTCATCCATTTATTTTGGATAAAAAAAGTTTTTTCAAAAATTTTTCTCGAAGATTTCCTTTTTTACATTCGCCTACGTCGAAATCTCAGTTATTCAACTATTTTTAATACCTTATGGCAAGCAATTTTCTGCCATTTTTTCTACAACTTTCATTAATTTTTTCTCATAATAAAGATATTATAACGTCAAACTCATCCGATTTTCATAACATAAATCGTTTGTTAGCATCGTACACTTATAAAAAGATACTTTGTTCATTGTAATCAATTTTTAGCAACATTCACAACATTAATAATTATATTTTTAGGAACCTCATGAAAATGGAAGACAAACTTGTGTTGGTATGCTAAAAATGGATTTCAAAAATTATTTCGAAAATGATTTTTCTTCAGCGGCAAAAATTGATATTGCAATTTCACCATTACGATGGAAGTCAATACCCACTCAAAAATATTCTGTACGACCACATTTTGTTAAAATTATGGCACAAGAAGAGAATGTCGTGCTTTTGAGAGCATTTATTTTTGCAACTGAACGAACATGGATTCTGATTGACATGAATACGATGATAATGAGCCCATTGAAATCGCAAAGGATTGCTAGGTGAGAAAATTTGCTGAAACCAAGTTTTGACAAGTGGTTGATTGAATTAATAAATTTAGCAGGATTGTCATCAAGATCAGAAAAAAGTCTTGAGCAATTAAATTAGTAATGTCTGACCACTTCAATTGCAACACCTTTTAAAAGATATTGTTAATTGTACATAACACCTAATTAGTAGTTTCGTATGCGGATGATGATTAAAAAACTATCACTTTCTCAATAAAGGATAATCCTTACCAATTAATTAAATAATCATTATTATTTTTATATTATTTTCATTTTTTCTTGATGATTTGTAATTTTCGACTGCAATTTGCTGACTGAACAAAAGAAAAAGAGAAGGAAAATCCGACTTTACCATAGTTCCTTCTTAATTAGTATTTTTTGCATGTCAATTATAGAAATGAAATGAAAAATCTTCCAGGGGCAATTGTGTAATGATGGATAAAAGTCGTCTAATCCTCCATTTGCATCATTATTCAGTGCTTTTCGATTACGATATCATTTGGAGCTATTATTCGGTACCAAAACTTAAACATTTAGCATTCTGGGAAGTGACAAATATGCTAAAAAAATTGCGAACTAAAAAATGTTGGGATTTACACTTCACATTTCATAAATCTTGTACCATTTGTTCCACTCTTGAAATGATCTCGCGATTACTACATTGTTGCTCTAACAGTGTATAAAAATGGAGGGAGAAATTACTCACTTTTCCTTTTTCCCTTTTCCTCCAAATTGAAATTTTAATCATTAATGTATCTGTGCTAATTGCAACCGTATAAAAACTACACATAATACGTATTTCAATAGAAAGAATGCTCAAGAGCCTTACGCCATCATAGTAATTCATTTGCTAATTAATTATCATATTCCAATTCAAAACGATATTTCCTTTTTTCTATTTGATGTCATATGCGCATATGAATAAATGCATCCATAACACTTGAATTCAGCCAAATCATATAATTTAGACAACTTTTCGATAAACAATTAACATTACGGCATTAATTTTCATCGATAATTTCTTTGTGATTCTTCAGGATTTTTTCTTGATTCATTTTGATGTAATTGATGCATGAGGCGGAATTGCCTTGGAATAAATTTTGATTGTAACATTTGCAACCATCATGACTTTCAATATGATAAAGTATTTTTGGATGCAACACAGTGGCATTTTGTAATTCCAACACTCCAATGTGATAGATTAATTGTCGCTTTGCAACTTGTTGGAATAATAACTTATCTTTCCGAATACATTGCTGAAACATCTTTGTTTTTTCTATACTTGTCCATTTTATCTCTCTATTAAATACAGCGGAATTGTAAAGATGTTTTGGAATAGGCATAAGTAAAGTAACTTATAAATTAGAGTTTAGCCAGATCAAGATAATCCATATTAAGGCAGGCTTTCGCAGGCATCACTGTTAGTAAACTGCTGGAGGGTACATGAAAGCTCGACGATGAATTTCAATCTTCTTTGTTAGTCATTCAACTGGATTCACTGTTATTATTAAAACTTTTATAGTACTTCATTCAAAATTTTTGCTAAAGCTGAACTTGGACAAATTTTAATTAGAAATTTCAGAAAAAACCTCATACACCTCGTGCAAAATTCCTCCGTCACAATGGTGATCAATTGTTAGGTATAGCTTCGATGTGTCTATATTTTTCACCTCAAACAGGAATTCATCCCAGTGATTCGCTACGGTTCCATCATCCTTAAGTCCCGCTGTAAATAATTTTGAATTATCAACAAAAAACATATGAGCAGAAATTGCTCTTCGGATTTTCGAATTTGATTCATCCGTTGCTTGAAACTCACCTGAAACACACGGAAACATTTCAAATATCAATCCAGTTAATCGGCTGATACTATTATTAATTCTACATATCACGTGATATCTCGTCACATAAAATCACGTAAAAAACACCTCCATCGTAAAGTTTTAGTCGTGCGCCAAAAACAGATGCACCACCACATGCCAGCAGCCCATGAATTCGTACTGTTTCGCCATTCTCAGCGTTGATAATAAATAACTGGAAGACCTTCAACGAAAAAATCCTACTAATTGGACCCTAAGGATGGTAACAGCAACCTTCACACTTTGATGCCTTTGACAGATTCATTTACTAACTTATCAATCGTGTGATTCTTAAGTTTTCACACAAACTGAACTGTTTTATCTGTAGCGAAAGCCCACTTTTCTGTTGATTAATAATTTCGCAAACCTGAAGAAGTGAAAGCAAACAACCGCTTAGTCGCATTAAAAATGAACTGATGAATAATTTTCTCTATCTCAATAATACAAAATCAAAGTCTCATATCAAATTTTGATATTTTTTTGAAACACAACGCATACTCCATGAATAGTATTTAACTTGCAAGTACATTATTTCCTGTAAAATAAGATTGGTGAATTTGAAATCTGTATGCCTCGTATGAAAGAAGAAAAAGCAGATTAAAAATATAATGATATTTTGCTTATAATCTGAGATAACGATCGTTATCAAATACAAAGGATAAAGGATAAAAGTAATTGTTTATATTTCCCTATGAAGAAGCATAAGAAAGATCAGAAATGAAATTAGTTACGTAAGGTAAGATAGATGAAGGAAAAAGAAAAAAGTACGCTAAATAACATCGTAATATTGCTTAGTAAGAATTATCAGAGAGCAATAACAATACAAATAGAAACTAATTTACAATCATGGAAAATTATGAACAGCGATGAAATCATTCTTTAGAGGCTCTTCCCCCGCGCGGTGCTTTTGGAGTTTCACTAGTTTCTCGTGAAGCATTATCAGATGTTTTCTCCTTACTAGGCTCCTCCGAATTCACGGGAGTAACACGTGGACTTGAAAATCTTGAACGTTCAAATTTTGCCTGTAAATCCTGATGAGATATCAATTTTGAAATGTGAAACTTCGTAAATTTCGAATATGAATTAACTTCAAAACCAAGGAGAATTAAGAATTATGAATGAACCGATTAGTATTATATTTAAATTATTAATTTTTAAAAATAGATGACCAAATCATTGAACTACAAAGAATTAATGGAAAAGGACAAATATAAACCTCTTCTGCCGCAAAAGCAGCACTTCTGCGGGTCATATGTGTAGTACCCCGAACAAATAACACATCTTTTTGAAGCATCTATAAGTAAGAAAAAAATTTTAATGCTTAAATATTACATCTACTATGTTGCCAAACAATAAGGATAAAAAAATGTCTGATTAACTGGAACATAAATCGTTTTATTGATAACTGTGCAAGCAAGAAAAGAACAATTCAAATGACCGCAGTACTAAGAAACTGGATAATAAGATTGATATCAATCTACTGTAAATAATTTCAAACTGATTTCACTAGAATCACAGGAAAAAAAAGAAATACCTTAAGTGAACTTAGTGTATCAAAAGCCATCTCTTTCGCATATTGGTTTACATCGTGACCTGTACTGTTGAACATTACCGCATTCGCAAACATCAGTAGCACATTTCGCTTGAAGTCACTCATTCCTGATAGATTACCACCATCTAACTGCTTCTTTAACGTGCTCAAGTCCATACGACTGGAACCTTTCCTTTCAGAAAAATGCTTTTAAAATCCGAAATTTATAATTATGAGTGGTAACTGCCTAACTAGCGGATAAACTGGAAGAAATGTTTGATTGATTAACATTTCAAATAGAATCTTTTTCGACAATTATGTTATCAGCATCATTGCGCTGATACCGACTTATATAGCGGGTCGATCAGTAGCAATGGACGGAAAAGTTGGTTACTAATAGAATTTGAGATTTGAAATTGATTTGAATAAATTGAGATTTGAAACTTATTAAGATAAATTAATAAATTGAGATTTGAAACTAAATAAACTAATAAATTAAAACTAATAAATTAATAAACTAATAAATTGAGATTTGAAACTTATTAAGATTTTAATAAATGCAAACAAAACAAATCCTTCCTATCAAAAGATTATTACCACTTTATTCGCACGAACGAAAGTACCTTTTAACGGTTTTTGAGTACCCTCGAGCATCTCGATCAGATACAGGATGAGCAAAAATAGCAGCATGTCGATGACTGGACACCATACGCCACGCAGTAACCATAAGGGCTTTCTGTTCTACGTCACCATCAGTCGAAACACCCTTAAACACAAGGACTTCATCACTACTTTTGCAAAGCTTACGCCCACAAAGCAGACAGTAATCAAACGAATAATGCTGGCAAATCGGGTGTCATATAATTGCAAATGAAAAAAAAATTGTGATAGAGAAGATCATACTGATAGTGTTAATTAAAAATTGACAATGACAATTAGCAAACAGAAGTTTGTGATGTACTGATGCGCTGATAGAACACAGTGATCGCATAAGCATCGTTGTGCTGTTTTAAAAAAGGACTAGAAGTCCAATGCATATAACATAATATAATTGATTGGAAGAAGTGAATTACGATTTACAGTTCAAACTACCTCACTTCCCGTTTAATAGCTGTAGATATCATCCAGTTAGTATATTAATAAGGATTATCTTCAATAACTTAAGCATATTATTCACTCTAAAATAACAGCACCACAATTACATCGGTTAAAGCATATTTTGACTACATATTAAATTATATCTTAGATACCAAGAAAACCGTACTCTTCTTGCTTGTCGACGGCTTGAACGTGTTACAACTGCACTTTTTTTCGGCGATCGGACTGGGGAAATTTCCGAAAATGCCTCTAAAAAACAATGGAAATATTCCGGAGCTTACATGAAAATTATGATATAAAGTAATAATAAAAAATGTTCCTTTAATACGCAATCATTTTATAAAAATTTCAATGCTTTTTTGAAGTCTAAAAATTGTAAGAAAAGAAGATTTTTGATGGTAAAATCTAATTGCTACCTGGTTTTTCTTTTGCCTTCTCATTGGTAACAACAGCTGCTTTTAAAGCACGACTTCGTGTACGTAAATCGACGAGTTTTTTATCATCATCAGATTCTCCCTCCACAACATGTTTCTCCTTAAAGTATTTTATAGCAAAGATATAAAAAAAAAAGAGAGAAAGTGCATTCAGAAACCATGATCAAACATAATCAGTTAATAACATTTTCACATTCCTCTTTTAATCAAAAAGAAAGAAATGTTATCAGCCAGAAATGCCAACTACCAAATGGCGCAAAGAGTTAATACGAAATAACTGTTTCTTTTAATCACATATGTATAATTTACTTTTTCTGAAAATGATCAGAATAAGAAGAAAAAATTCTACGAATGCGTACTTCTTTTTCAGGCTCTGGACTGGATTGCAACTCAATATTGCTTTCGATTCGATGTTTCGTATCCTTTTTCTGAGCATTTTCAACATCTCTGCTAGACAATCGCCTAGAAATGATTATTAAAAAAGATAAACAACTACTTCTAGTGATCAACGTTTGCATTCTTCCTAGAGTTTGATTATCGAAATGAACACTACATTTTAAAAGTTACAATTTTCATACCGTCGTTTGGTAGGCCATGTCTTCACTTCTTCATCATTATTACCAACAATTTCCAACTTTGCCGACCGTTTTCGCCTTCCTGTTTGTACATGTACTGGAGATGCATTAGCCTCAACATCAATCTTCGAATGACATCTTTCTGATCGTCTAGAAATATTCTGATAAACAATAATTACTAATCTATAATTGACATTTGCAGTCTCCAATAACTTATAGAATTTACATATACCTATCCTATCAGTTGTCTACCACTTTCCCTTCCTCAACTTGTGATAAGGAACATTCAAGCCATTTCATCTAAAAACACCAAATCCTTAACACACCGTAATTTTCCTTCTTCCTCTTCTTCTGCAATATTCTTCTCTTCTCTGTTGATAAAACCAGACATCTTAGTACTTTTCAGCGGATTAGCAGAAGTAACAGATAAACGACGATTTCCTAGAAACAAAACTTCACTCTCTATACGTCACACAATGATAATTTCTAAAAGAAGCAGTAGAATAACTAAACGAAAGAGCATTTGAAAAAGCATGGAATCTGAAAAGCTTGAATAGTTGTAGGTTTTTCAATAACGATTTAAACAAGTACTTAAAGAATGCTCATGCTGAGCTGGTAATGTTGCTTCATTATCCATGTTACCTGAGCCACCCGATGAACGTGTAACAATTTTTTGAGCTCGTCTTGTTTTCATCTAAGAAAAATATCGATTGAATAAATACAACAGATCAATTTTTTTCAGCAATGGTACCTTAATTAATGAATAACAATATTTAAATTGCATGTAATAACTACGATCCAGCTTTATGACACGACCTAGGATTATTTAAATAATGCATATCACATCAAATTTAAAGGAAAAGTGATACCGTTTCTTTTTTCTCAACTACCTCCTCCATCGCTGAAGTGGGCTCTTCCTCCATTTCATTTTTAATAGTGACGTCAAGCAGTTTCGCCTAGAAAAGTGAATTGTAAGACATCATGGTAATCACAGCTGTTCAAAAAACATTCGGTAATTCAAACATGAATGACATTATAAGCAATTTCAAAAAAAGAACAGAGAATTGCGCACATCAGTTAACGGCATTATCTAAAAAGAGATTCTGACCAGATAGAAAATTTAAACAAAATAAACCTCATCCGACGTTAACGATGTATTAATTTGAATTTCGTTCGCATTATTTCTTAGTGACTTCAGGATCAACTCACTCGATTCTGACTGCGAAATGAAGTCTTCGGAGTTTTCAGCTGTTTCTAAATATAACGATGATAAAAATAATTGAAAAATCTTCGATGAACAATACTTTTTCTGGAAAGTTCATTAAGCGAAATGCATAATAATACGATAAAGTGTAATAGCATAATATGATGGAGTATAATTATGAAGATGTTTCGAAAGATATAACTTTCTCTAATTCTCTTAACATGCTTTTCTGTTTTTCTCTGCTAAAAAATAGCGCAGCATTTGTCCTTGATAAATATTTCTAGCATAAAAGTATTCAAAAGCTTTGAGAATTCTCATTTTCTTCGAAATACATTCAAATCCTATTTAAACTTAATAATAAAACTGAAATTCTTACCAGTCTGATACGATGATGCATTATTATCGACCGATTCTTGTGTCCGTAATCTTCCCTGAGCAGATAACAGTTTTTTGCCACCCTCTAATGTTTCGCTAGCCAACGTTTCCGACATAGCACTTCGACGTTGCGGACTGCTGATCTTCTTAGATAAGGAAGATCCAGAAGTGATATTTGCAGCAGGTGGTGCTTTTGTTTGCGAAGTTATCTGTGGTTGAAAAGAAAGGCCTTCGAAAAGAGGCTTAATTGGAGAAAATGGTGCCTCATTGGCGTATGATTGAGGCGGATGAGACGGTGGTATGATGATCTTCAACTGTGGATATTTAACTGGCTGAAATCTTATACAAATTTCATTTCAACGAAGGAATCACTGATTTTCGAAGCATTCTAATTAAATACAATAAAATGCAACTTACATTTGTTTCGTGAAGAGCTAAATATTCTTTCAAATTCTTTGTGCCGTTTTCAATTTCCTTTTCGACGACTTCTTGATCACGCTAAAAAACGTATGACATAAAAACTGCATGTCTCTTCCCCTGTGAAAGCTTTTGCTGCACCCTAAGAGATTGTGGGGTCATTTTCAGCATAAGAAAAATTATTACAAAGAATGAATCCTTGTTCAGTAAAAAGTTGAAGAAGGTCTTGAACACGCAGTAATCTTGTACCCATAATAAGAAAGACATGCCATGCTATCTTCTTCACGAGCTTCCTCCAATAATTTTTCTATTTCCTTGTCCGTTAAATCACTATCAAGCGAGAACAAACGATTAAAAAGGTCTGCTTTCTGCCGTAATTTCACCAAAAGCAGCTCTTCTTCCTGCACTTTCTTGATTTTTAACTGCAATATCAAAATGAGATACTGAAAATTCATAAACTAGTAAAATGCACAAGTAACTCGCTTCCCAGAATGACATTTTTTGCAATGGCATGTTGGTTAATAGATAAGTTGGCGGATAATTTTTTCAATTAATCACAGAAATGTAAAAATAACAGGAATTATCTATAGAAAATATTTAAATTAACATAATGCTTTATGATATAAATTCTATCATTTCTTCTTATAGTTCTTCCGTTTTAATTTTTCATATCATTACCAAAATACAGCTAATATTCTGCAGTTTCTTCCTTTTTTTTAGAAAAACAGTAATCTGAATTGGAATAATTCCAAAATCAAACAGATTATTGAAAACAGATTATTGGTTTTGAGATGATGAAGATATTTTAACAACATGAATAAGGGAGATGCTACATTAAAAATCAGCAGTAATAAATCAGCATATATATTTAGAAACGCATTACAAAGACCCACCTCCTTTTTTAAATAAACCGTCCAAGCATGAATGAGTTCTTTTCGGGAATACTTTTCACCTGGTTTTCGCAGGAAATGCTCCGGATGGCCGCTTGACATAACACGTTCAAACTCATCCTTACACAGCTGAAAGACTTTGCTGGATAATAATAATGAGAGTAAAGCACTTTAAGATCTCGAATCCGATTGAAAATAAATATCTTCAACTTATCCCAAAATTTCACAATTTAAATAACCAAAAATTCCAAACTATGACTATTGAACTAAAAGTCATTGAAATAGATTGAAAGATTTGCTACATGAAACACCGTAACTTCAGCTTGGTGCTACAAACTTAGGTGAAACTGTTAAGATACATTGCTGAGAAAGTGTAATTTCTCTTTCTCCTCTTCCAAAATATCAAACAGTATTAAACAGGAAAAAAGAATTTCTCTTAATTTCAAGAAATCCCACTTTTTCGGTAAAAAAACCAGCCGGTCTTTCATCTCCAAAGCTTTCCGTAAGTTTTTTACTGCGTACATGCCTGAAAATGACTTTATGATTATGGCACAATCTGTGTGATTGCTTTCTCTGTTCCTGTCAACAGTTCTTTGAGATATTCGCGCTAACCCTTTTTTTATGCCATCGAAAGCTAAACGTAAATTATAAACTTTTCCAACCATGAAACTTCTAAAATTTACGAAAAATTTATGTATTTAGGAGATTCAATTTGAGCAATTCATCGAAAAATCGAAATACAATGATGGAACAATGAATTAAAGATAATTGGAAAAACAGATGAATTAAAGGATAATTGGACGTTTACTAACATAACAACGTGACCATGTTAACCAGTATTTGAATTTTACGGATTGTGTGAATTCCGATCGTACTGCTCTTTTGAATAAGTGAATAATTGTTAAAATCATTGGAAAGACTACCTTAAAACATTGGTAGGCAGAGGTGTTGTTAGATGACAGCAACATCATTTTATAGGTCAATTTTCGTTATATATTGGCGTAAAATTCATGTACTCCCAGTAAATTATTCGCGTGCATACGCCTATTGTTGCGCACGATAGAAGTTGATTTATAAATAGCAAAAAATGCAAAAAATTACCAGTCATCCTCCATCTCCATAAGTTCGAAAAGTTGTAGCGTTTCTTCATGCTTCCAACTTAATGATATGCTTGGATATTTCATTCCCACATAAGGCCTGGAAAGTTTTCACCCAATGTTACCAAAATAGTAAAATTTACGTGGACCAATTATCTGTATGTGCAAGCGATCCACACGTCTCCAATAGCATGAACTTTCTTTTTCTTTCCACTTTACCATAACATTATTTCATATCTTTCCTATGACCCTTAAAATCCTTTTGTTGAGGACATGTTGTTTTTCTATTGGCTATCACAACTGTACTGCATAATTCTTTAGTTCTATCAACTTTATCGTCTTTTCAGTTAAAACGACTCCTTTTTTCCCTTCACTCCGAATTACTACAACCAAGTTATACACTTCAGCGTCTTTTAAATCCCGCAGTCTCTAGCAATATGTAGAAATAAAAAACTTCGCAGAGAATCGATGACCAATTGGCCGAGAGATATGTCGCATCATAGTTGTGTGCCACGAGTTATGAAACAGGATATCTCAAGAGAAGCAATTTTTGAAATTCTTCAGATCTTTGAGTAATTTGAGCCTAAGCTTTCCTCATGATATTTAGCAAAGATTATTTATTCTTTGCCCATTCGAACATGTAAACAATTACCATCCATCGCACATACAGCAAAACATTACGTACGAAATGCAAAAGTGACGTAACTAAATTAACAAAGTATCAATTCAAGCATTATTAATACTTATAGATTGGTTGAAATGTTGGCAAAAAAGAAACATGTAAAAATTTGCATATATTCATTGACATCTATAAAAATACAACTTTTATTTACCTTTTAGTACCATTTGCATTTGTATTACTGAAGTCGCATTGGATGTTAGTTCCCTAATTTTATATCAATATAATCAATGAAATATTACGGTTCACTGTGCCCTGCGATATCAGTCTTTCCATCCGCTGCAAAGTAATAGCATCCTCACACCTTAGTAATATTGATTTTCCTATCGGTCCTATCCGTAATATCAACTTCTATTTATATTATCAGTCTTCCAAACTATTTTAGATAATATCAGATTAGTCATGGTATTCCAATGGACAAATTTAACATACTAATGATACTTTTTACGGAACAAAATGGCATAAAATGATGAGTAACATGAAATTGATAAGTAATTAAGGAGAATAGGAGAAGATGCAATAGACATCATAAGGTATTGGAATTGTCCATTTCTTAAAGATTTGAAAACATGCCTTACTTCCCTTCATTTTTTGTCCAAAATTAAAAATACTTTTTTTTGATGAAATGAATTACTTCATTTGTTTAATTGCAACTGATCATTATAATGTATATCAAAGTAAATCATAATGACCAGGTGATACGTTTTCTTTCTTTCATACAGCAGTCATGGGTGATAAATATGAAGTACTTAATGCACATCAAAATGATGCTACCGCAGCGATACCACATGCTTCATTGTCTGGATCACCAGCAGCCGATGTGACACCTTTGCTGGACCCAGAAGCGGAATTATTAAAAAGTACTACCGATCTTTGCACCAAAAAATTTGAATCTGAAAGTGGGCAATTTTCTTCTTTCTCTACCAATATTTTAGTAATTTGTTTTATAAAAATGCAATCAATAACATTAACAAAATTTTTCATAACGTAAATACAAATCATAATAATACGTCAAACGTAATATTACATTTAATTGTTTTTATTATGTACGAAAAAATGGTAGTACAGTATGTCGTTTAATGTAATATTTATGCTTTATTTTTCATAGGTAAAAATGGAAAAGAATATAATTTCATATAATATAATTATGAACGTTTTTCAAAAAATTACTGTAAACTTATTGAAATTTTAAGGGAAATGTAGATATTAAACATTTTCCGATTGTTTGTGTTTAAATTTCAGAAGAACAAGTGAAAGGGATGCCAAGAAAATTGATGATTATGATTTATGTCGGTGCAATGATATTAAGTATTATTTCATTTAACATTGGTATAACTATTGGCTATTATGCTTTGTAAAAATATAAAGGTACTATTTATCCTTCCAAATTACGTATATATTTAATGGTTATGGGCTTGAATACAGGTTACTTGCTTAATTACATATCCTTTTGAAACAAAATTAGAAGACAAAGAAACAAATTTCATTTTGAATTCAAAAAATTTTGATAAATTAATTAATAATGATATCAACAGGTTCAAAAAAATCTTTTTTTTCCGTTTATTTTAATCGAGGTGAAGTAAACTTTAGAATCACCATTTAGCGAGGTGAAGTAAACTTTAAAACAGAATTATTAAATATGAGAGATATTGCAAAAAGAGTAATGGAAGTTATCTCTAATCAATGAAATGCACTTACATTCTCATTAATATATTGATTAAATTATTCTGAAAATGTATATGTGATAATGATTCTATCATTAGAGGATTATGAAAATAAAGAAAGAAAGAAAAAAGTAAAAGAAAGCATATTGACTAAAATTGATTAAATTTAAATAAATGCTTTTTAAAGTGATAAAAATTTCTGCATATAAGAAGATTCCCTCTGTAAATCAAATTATTGGATTTGGAGCTACAACATTGTTTTCCTTCTTACTTATTCCCATAAATCGAAAACGTTAGTTGCAGCAGTCATATCGACTGCAATATATTGTTCGATTATTTCTTATATTTCAAATCGGATACAGAAAACTATACTGGTGCAGTATTCGGGATATATCGATCAGGTTATTCCTCGTATAAATAACAACTTATCCATAAATACTATTCACATAAAAATAGTATCATTTAGCCTTTTCATCTATTCATTATTTCTGGATCTTGAAATCTGATTCCTATGAAAATATAACATATCCATGCTATGCTTTGTATGTCGTAGAAACAATAATAAAATTGTGAAAAGAAATCAAATCATAAAATATTTTCAAGTAAGCTGTAAGCAATGACTGACTGTTAAATTAAAAAGCATACCGCACTTTACATATCTACATAGAAATAAAACATGAAAACTTCCTCAACAAAATTGTTCAACAATGACAGTTGAGAATGAGCAGTACTGCTCAAAAGAATAAATTAAAAAGTAAAGATGTAAATGGATTAGATAAATTAATTTACTGAAAAAGAATAACAAATAAGTATTCATTTATTATTCTTTATATTTTATCTGATTTAAAGTACAATTGCTATTTTTTTATTATAAGATATCTATCATTGTCTTCCAAAAATGGAATAACATAACTAAGTGGTCATCGAAAGGTCGGAAATTATAACTTCATCATCAGAGATTGTCTAATTTTCATTTCAAAAAAATGGCTCTTTCATAATTGTCTGCAATTTTGTAATCATTGGATTGGTTCATTTCTGAGGTTTGACCTCACATTCTTCCTAAAATAAGTTTTTTTAGAAATTTTCAGCAAATAGAAATAGCAAATAATCAAAACACCTAAAAAATTCGTAAATGGATTTAAAAAAGTTCAAAAAAGATAATTCTATTTTTGAGAGATGGAAAAGAATCCAACAATATTTCTTTTTGTTTTTCATCAAGAAATTAATCTTCATATTTGACCTTACTTCAAGTGTGGACTTCTTAAACAAAGAGTAGAGAGTAATTGACAAGCAGATTCAGGTCACGAAATTTCCAATAAATTATAAAGAATCCATCAATGAATGTCAGAATCTCTTAAATCTGAATTATTTTTAATCTCTTCTCTCTCATTTTATTTAATAAACTCTTTCATTAAATGCTTCTAGCAAATTACCCAATCGTATCATTCAAAATTCGAAAGCGATATTACATTGCAGATAATCTGGTCATCTTCAAAAGATAATTCAGATCACGAGATTCCTAATAAATTGTAAAGAATCTGGTCATCTTCAAAAGAGCATCCTTCAATAAATTGCTTTTTGTGAAAGAAGTTCTAATGGTACTGCAACCTATATTTGATGATTTATCATTTGTATGTAAGAAAATAATTCCTTTTATGATGATATATATAAGAAGTAAGTATTTGGGTAACAATTTTATAATTGAAATTTGAAGTGATTTATTTGTTTTGAATTATAAAAACGTAACGGTCTTAACTGAAATGAAGAAACCAATTTTTAACGTGTTGGGGAACTGCTTTGTTCATAAATTGCTAAAATAAAATGGCGAACTTTACAAACTTCAAGAATTCCTTTCCTATTAAACTTTAAATTTATTTATTCAAAATAATTGAGATGCAGGGTAAAAATTAAGTTTCAATCTGCTTCGCCATAAGGGAAAATTAAACAGTCCTTCAATAATTTTATGAATATAAAAGGTAGTTCGAATTCAATAACTGTATAATTCCTTCTACCAATTATTATTTATCATATAAAATTTTTATCCAACAATTTCAAATTTTGCAGAAAATGAAACAGCGCTTTAGAAAAAAAGGCACAAGCAAAAAATATGTTATCAAAATTATTTTGTATGATACATTCATTATAAAGCATTTTAAAGAGACAATTGAACGCAAAATTTGATTTGTAGAAATAATTCAACATTTATTTATATTACTTGCGTCATATCGGTTAAAATCGTTGCTTCAGTATGCTAAAATAATATCTGAAGCAGCAAAATTAAATAATAATATTAAAAACCAATTAGACGATCGTTTGCTTATATCATCAATCCAATACAAATTTCAATTACAAAGTTATCATATAAATATTTATTTCTATTTATATTACCATAAAGGTAATTATTCCTTCTATGCAGATAGAAAATTATGAAACTATGGATTGTAATTTCACTTATATGACGATATTTCTTCCACAAAAACAATCCATAAGGAAATTCTTTGTATCTATTTCCTAATGTATTTAAATTTCAACTATTTCACTACTTTATTTTGATGTAACTATGGAATCATAAAAAATGATGAACACTTTGATAAGATGATAAATTAATTAATCGATATGAAATAATTGAAAAAGCTATCGTTTAGCAGTAATGATTGCTACTTTGTTGACGGAAATAAATTTTGAGAATAAAATCAAATTATAATGTTTATATGAGATTTAATGATTTCAATCTATTTGTTAAGNCTTATATGACGATATTTCTTCCACAAAAACAATCCATAAGGAAATTCTTTGTATCTATTTCCTAATGTATTTAAATTTCAACTATTTCACTACTTTATTTTGATGTAACTATGGAATCATAAAAAATGATGAACACTTTGATAAGATGATAAATTAATTAATCGATATGAAATAATTGAAAAAGCTATCGTTTAGCAGTAATGATTGCTACTTTGTTGACGGAAATAAATTTTGAGAATAAAATCAAATTATAATGTTTATATGAGATTTAATGATTTCAATCTATTTGTTGAATTTTATCTTTAAAGGATTTAAAAGCTATGTTTTGTAGAATATTACCCTCTCATAATTTAATTAAACTATAGTGTAAATTATATAGATATATGCTAATACAGAAAATTTAAATGAAATAATTTAACAAATGTTAAGAGGAATAAAAAGCGACAATTATATTACCAAAGTAAAGCACAATTCTGTGTGTTTATTTTCTTATAGATACTAAGTTTTAAACGATTATTGGTATTATCTCCTTTTGTTTGATGATAAATATTACATATACTTGCTATTTTAACTTTTAATGTATACAATAAATTTATCCGTAATAGTTAGTAATTTACAAAAGAACACTACGCTTTACAATAACTATGTCTTGATTTAGCAGGCTACATGGCAAACAATAAATTTATTTGTAATAGTTAGCAATTTATATTTAATGATATTATAAAAATAGAGAATGGAAGGGTTTTTTTCACTGGACAGATGTGTCTGTCCAGTGAAAAAATGATACTTTTAGGATACTTTTAGGTATATATTTTCAGACTTGATATTTATTCGTTACTTCATCAATTGAAATAAATTTAATTCTCTCCTTTGTGTTTCTTTATTATATTTTTGATTATGATTTTGGAATATAAACGATGATTGTATATTACGTATATAAGACAAAAAATGAAATCAAAACAGATAAATTTTAGAATGTACAGGTTTAATTTAGAGTTTTTCTGCTATTGCACTTGAGGTCCATCTCCCTCAGCAAAGAGAAATACT